ATGTCTGTCTCCATTTTTATCACCATTTTCCCAGACCCTAGTCAGAGAAAAATACCGTCCATTGCATTGCCAGTATTTTTGCACTGTCCATAAAGTCCCAAATACAGACTGTCAGTACATTACCAGACAAGTGGCAACATAGACCTAACAACAAAGGTTCTTTCACTGAACAAGTTACGACAGAAAGGGGTGGCAAATTATTCAAGTACTATAGCAGTATTTCCAATACCCTCCATAGAGGTTTAAATAATGAAAAATGTAGACAGATGCTCAAATACTATATATTTGATATTTTATGGGGACAAGTGACCAAACACACGTGTCCTATTAAGTTTCTCTGTGTGCTTTCCATCTTGTTAGTCATAGACATCTCTAATTCTACCACAGAAATTCAATACTAATTAGTGCAACATTTTTTTAATCACGCTTCTAGGTGGATCCAGAGTAATTTTGTGTTTATGACGGTCAACGGTTTCTATTAAAGATAGTATTATAGTGGAAAATGTGCTTGAAAATTCTATCAAGTAAACCGAGGCCAAATGTAAAATTCCATCATTTTTCTTCATTTAGAAAAACTGACAGGTTTTGACAGAGAAAACCAAAAGGCTTATACCAGCAGATCATCAGCTTCCATCATTCTTCATAGACATGTTGTTTTCCTGTTATACTGAGTCAAAATAAGGAGGAATCTTCTGATATGGTTAATGTAGCGAAAATAAATACTTTTCATATCATTTTAAAGTAAAATACAGAGATCGCAGTGTAATCTTTCTTTTACAGTATATTGTACACCAGCCTGCCAGTCAAACAGAGAAGAATAATGACAGACGATATAATATAGATTAACCTATTTCGGTGATGCATTCACACAAGTGTATCAATATATTTTTACATAAGATGCTCTTATGAATAAAACCGGCATAGTATGCAACATGAAATACACAACAAATTAAAATGAGTAATACTTATTTATATAAAAAGTGACTCAATCAGTCATGCATAAAAAGTGAAGAAATACGTATAATGGATTTCAATCAAAGCTTTGAAGGGTTTTTGTGTGCAGGTTTTTTTTTCCATATATTAGTTTTTACTCTGTTTATTCTTTTCAGACATGAGGTTTGCATATACATGGTATACACTTGACATCAGATCACTGCCATACTGTAGTTCAGATTTAATAACCATTGTATTTTTGTGTATTTCCTTTGTAGGAGTTTCACTTTAGGTTTTATGATTTTCGCAGCTAGTGTACATACTTTAGACAGAGTTATAAAACTCCCCAAAATAGACAAACCCTTTCATGGTTGTTTTAGGATCTTCACGCTTGCAACTTTGACTATATAATGTCTGCCCACTGAAATCTTTCTGCTCTGCTGCTCTCTCTAGAGAAGATGTCTAGAGAAGTTAAAACCACCATCTAGCCCCCCTGGCCTTTCATGCCTCCCCCTAAAATAGTACAATCTTACTTGTATTCAAGTTTGGAGCTGCAGGCTTTGTCCCGGTTTCCTGTAGACCTGCCCACTGCCTGCTGACATCAGAAGAAGTGGTAGCCTGCTCCAATCACAACGCTTCTCCATAGGATTGGCTGAGACTGAAAAGGAGGCAGATCAGGGGCAGAGCCAGCACAATACAAGCACAGCCCTGGCCAATTAGCATCTCCTCATAGAGATGAATTGAATCAAGGAATCTCTATGAGGAAAGTTCAGTGTCTGCATGCAGAGGGAGGAGATACTGAATGTTTGGATGCATTTTATGCAGCCATGACCCAGGAAGGATCTCTAACAGACATCTGAAGAGTGGCCAGTGAAGTTATCACTAGGCTGTAATGTAAGCACTGCATTTTCTCTGAAAAGACCGTGTTTGCAGCAAAAAGCTTGAAGGTAATGATTCTACTCACCAGAACAAATTCAATAAGCTGTAGTTGTTCTGGTTACTATAGTGTCCTAAATCCTAGTTAACTGAAATTTTTTGCCTGATCTGGTCAACTGATTTATATCACATAAAAATGCCACTGTATCATTTCAGTAGTTACCTCTATAGCATTTCAGTTATCTAGATGTAAAGGGACAACCCACACACCTAAAGCATTCCAGCTTGCTGAAGTGCTTTATTTGTGAATATTGTATCCTGTTTGCTTTTTTTTTTTTTTTATATTTTACAAAAAGGGCAGATTTCAATAGAAATGAAAACATTGGCCAATTTATCTTGTTATCAAACATAGTCCTGTTACTTCCTTGTTTAGTTAGCTCTGTGGTGCTAAACTCAAGAAGGAGCAATTTCCCAGACCACCTTCTTGCAAAGACTTCTCATTAAGTTGCATTGGGCGGTCTGTGATAGGACAGAACAGAAAGTCTGGGCTGGGAAAAAGGGGCTTGCAGAGGCTGCACAAAAAGGAAGTAAAAGAGATGTTTAAATATATTGCAAGGAAAAATGCATATTTAAATGCATGCACATTTTCATTAATGATTTATAGACTAAATTGTTATTTATTTCTATTGGGCAGTGGAGTGTCCCTTCAATGAAAAATGAGACTTTCTTTTATCAGTGGGTGTAGGCTAAGATGAGCATGTCACTGTGGTATGGCTATAGAAGACCAAATCACGCAAATTAAAAAATGTAAGTTAATCTATAAATTCTAATTAAAACAACTGCTCCCCTCATATGGTTGACTGATTTACCACAATATTTACGGTAAATCTCTACTTTAGTGCAGCGTTGTCAAGCTTTACCCCCCTCTCGATGTTGCCAGAATAAAATTCCCATAACTTACTGACCCACTATTCCATTCAAAGAATTCTGGAAGTTTCAATTCAACATCTTGGGAAGGAGTTGGACAAACCTGTGCCTCAACCATTATAAGGTAGAAGACCAGGATGGGCTGTTGTACATTTTATATTATTTGGGAGGATAATAGCTATTAACATTCATGTACGACTAAGAATATTTATATACAATGCAATGAAAAAAATTGGTTCTTCAGTCTGTCAATGTTGGATTGCAACTACGACCCAGGTAACCCAAACCTGTTTTAATCACGCATTGGTGAACCTTAGAAAATATAGAAAAGCTTTGCATACAATCGTCTAAAAGCAGCTAAACCACTGATTGAAATGGAAACTCACTACATTTGGATTTTTAAAGCAGAACAAATGTTAAGACAAATTGAGAAAGCAAAAAAAAAAGGTCAAGATAAATGAGGCAGGATGAGATAAAGGAAAATAAATAAAAGAGGAAAAGAAATGAAAAATGAAGGAACAATATAGAAACAAAATGAGGAACGTAGCAGGAGAAAGGTATACTAATCTTTCTCCTGCCATTTTCCTCATATTGTTTCTATTTCGTTCCTTCATTTTTCCTAATAATGATAAAATATAAAGAGAAAGAAGGGTATTGAAAGGAAAGAAAAATAGGAAATCAAAGCAGTCATAAAAAGAGAGGAAGATGGAATAAGACTAGATAGGAAATGAAAAGTAAATAATGGGAAAAAAAGAAAAAAGCAAAGCGAGATAAAAAGAGGAAGTAAAAAACAGGGTAGAGAGAGAGCAAAAAAAAAAAGAATTTAGAAGATCATGGATAATAAAATATATAAATGGATAGGAAATAAGAAGTAGAAATGGTAGTACTAGAAAAAAGTAAATGTGTGAGTGACAGTTAAGAAAATGTCTGAACATTTCTCAACTATTTAACGTGCTGGAGTAAATTAAATATATTTCTATATATTATATATAGAGATAGATAGATAGATATTCTTATTGTATTAATCTACTAATTTCGTGTACATTTTGTATTTTTTTTTGCATGTAATACATATAAACATATAACATACACAAAAATACTTAAAACATAAGTTTTTTTTAATATAAATACATTAAAACAATGACTTAGAGATAGGTTAGTGTCTCCTTTACAATCTGAATAGACTGTACCATTTAATGATGCAAAACGCATTTGAAGGAAACAAAAACAAATATTTATTCATGCCTGGAGAGCTTGCCCTTTAAGATGGCCATTTTCCTTTTTCAATCACAAAGAAGCATGAAGCATTGTCAAAGCCCAAAAGTATAGATTATGAAGAGACGGCTTCTGCCCATCAGAGAAAAGAACTTATTTCTAAAGGCCTTGATGATTTCTGTTGCTTATTTTTATGATTGCCTGGAAATCCCCGAGGGGTCTTATTCTTGAAAACAAAGTTACACGGAAATATATAAATAATTTGCGAGGAGAGAAAAAGCATTGCAAATAGCATTATTTGCCAAGATTCATGGTATAGCTTTCCTTTATTTACAACATAAAAATATAAATTTACAGTGAGGTTCTAGATGCTCAAGGTTAAAAACATCTGACAGACCACCGTAGAAAAAATGCCATATTCTTTCAACACACAAGAGCCAGGCATTTTGTATAAAAGGTATATATTTAAGCTACTCATATTTCTTCCTCTCTCAGCTGAGGGGTTTATTGCTAGAAGTCAGTGAACAGGGATATGTGTTTCTGGACTTGCATTTCATTTACTCAAAATGTAAAGGTTAACGAAAAATATCTTGAATATATTTCATCAGCCAATTTCATTATTTTAAGTGGAATAATGCCCCAGCACAGACGCAGAGACGCTTTTTGAATAATTGTGGAGTAGGGGTGCATATGATATCTTACTAATGCTTACCAATTCTTCGGCTACAAGACGCAAAAAAAGGAAAATAAGGAAGCACTGCACTAAATTTGGTATAGACCATTTGTCTCTATTTACATCAACAGGATCTTTCCTGATGTGCCCTATATGCTTTAGGTTTGAAATTTGCCAGTAAAACATTATTTGTTAACAAAGCAGGGGCATATGTTTTCCACCACTTACTCAACAAATGCCCACTACAGATCTTCACCACTTTGGGGGAAAAATTCAGAGAAAGAACTCAAGGCTAATAATTCTCCTGTGAGATCAGATTTTTTTTAATCTCAGGAGTTCTGATTGAGTTCGATGTATCTGACAAATTAAACATGTTTTAAAATTACTGAGCCCCCTACATATATATATATATATATATATATATATATATATATACACACACACACACACACATATATACATATATTGTTTGTGTAACACGCATGTAGGGGGCTCAGTAATTTTAACACATATAAATGTCTATATATAAAATACATATTGGGGCTGATGCGTACTGTAGTCATTGCTGAGCGCAGGACTTCTCTTTTTGTATTTATATAAAAATACATATATATCTATATATAATATTTTAGTCTCTAGATAGCAAATCGTTTTAAAAATGGTTAATGAAGATACATTCTTTCTATTCCATTAACATAATTAGTGCTTAGAGAAATCTGATAATTTTCTTTAAATAAACCTTTGAAATTATAACTGCAAATTTAAACGGAGGGAATTATTTAAATGTATATTTTTATGTAATCTTCTCTTTACACTGAGTGATGCCGAAAAAAAGAACAAAAACTATAAACAATATAAAAAAAAAAATAGCCACAATGAGGCTTGTATGTGCGTTCCAGGTGGGATACTGTGGCGTCACTCAATGTAAGGTGAAAAATCACATGATCAGAGGCAGGGCCGCCATCAGGGGGTGACAACCATGACGGTTGTCACGGACCCAACGGCCTGGGCCCCACATGTATCAGTGGAACTGCCGCCGGTACATCTGCACCGGGGCCCACACGCTGATGGGGCCCATCAGGTGGCCCAAGCATTTAGGACCACCCAATGAGCCCTTTTATCTTCAGGGGCCCGATCAGCGCCGTAATAGCGCGACCGGGCCCCTTAAAAAAAAAAATGCAGCCGGAAAGCAAGTACTGCTGGGAGGAAGTGACAGTCACTTCCTGCCAGTTTACTCCGCGCGGGAAGGCAGAGAGAAAGCATGAAGGCCGCAAGGAGAGACAGCCAACTCACATCATCCCCAGCCACCCTCCTGCAACGAAATGGTAAGGCTGAAAATGAGGTGTGTGTATATATGTATGCCAGTGTATATATGCCTGTGTATGTATGCCAGTGTATGTATGTATGTATGTATGTATACCAGTGTGTGTATGCATGCATGCCAGTGTATGTATGTATGCCAGTGTATGCATGTATGTATACCAGTGTGTGTATGCATGTATGCCAGTGTATGTATGTATGCATGCCAGTGTATGTATATGTATGTATGCCAGTGTATGTATATGTATGTATGCCAGTGTATGTATGCCATTGTATGTATGTATGTATACCAGTGTGTGTATGTATGTATGCCAGTGTGTGTCTGTATGTATGCCAGTGTAGGTGTGTATGTATGTATGTGTGTATGCCAGTGTATGTATGTATACCAGTGTGTGTATGTATGTATGTATGCCAGTGTATGTGTGTATGCATGTATACCAGTGTGTGTATGTATGTATGTATGCCAGTGTATGTGTGTATGCATGTGTATGTATGTATGTATACCAGTGTGTGTCTGTATGTATGTATGCCTTTATGTATGTATGTATATATGTATATATCAGTATGCAGTATGTGTATGTATGTATGTTTGTCAGTATGTATGTCTGCATGTATATGTGTGTGTGTGTGTGTCTCCCTATGCATGTGTGTATGTCTGTTTCAGTATTTGTATCTGTTAGTGTGTGTGTTTTCCTGTGGGCAGGATTTGGAGGCGGGCCCTGTGGGCTGGCTTGAAGGGGGGCCCAGACCTTGAGCTGTGTTAGTGACCCCAAAATTTCTGATGGCGGCCCTGATCAGAGGAGTAACCAAAGAAATTGGAGCAGATTTTATAACTCCCTACCCATCCACAGATTCAAAGAATTATCTGCCTCCATATAAGCAAATTACCCATTATTATGGAGAACCCAGTTTTATTGACTCCATGTTTGTGAGCGTTTTACTATTTGTTATTTTCCTTTTAACACATTGTTTTGTTTGTTTTTTATTTACTTTTTATTAAAGTTTTATGAAAATTTTTACAAACAAGGTTCATATAATAGAGCCATATACAAACAAATCATTCAAAGGTAAACATCACTAATTAGCTTAGTACAAGCTGTTACATCATTTTGATGAATAGCCTTCATACACAAGACAAGACATCGTAGTACAGATTCATAAACAGAGTACACAAACATATATGGTCACAGAGTCCAATTTAACTAACAATTTTCCCATTATTTCTCGATACAGGCATGGTAACTGAGCAAATTATTATACTTTTGCTCAAGGAAGATTTCTCAGAAATCTTTGATTTTTATCGATAAGGTTTGAATAAGTTTCTATATGTCTATATTTTGAATATGTATTAGTGAAAAACAAACCTCTCTCCATCTCTAATTGGTTTAAAATCTGTACTTTAAGATGGTCTTTGGTCGTTACATTAATATTTTTCCAATTTCTAGCAATTAGAATCTTAACCGCCATAAGGCAATGTACTATCAGATTATCTGCCTTTCCAGTATATTATTTCTCAATTATGTGTAGTAGCGCTATTTCAGCTTTTTGAGGTAATAAAACTTAACATACTTTCTTAATCAATTCAAAGGCTACTTGCCAGAGTGTTTGAACTCTTGGACATCTCCACCAAATATGAGCCATTGAACTTTCCTCATGGAAGCATCTCCAACAGTTTGGGGGGGGTTCATTTTAGAGATCTTTGTCAATCTCATTGGGACCATATACCATCTATAACTGATCTTTATAAGAGTCTTCAATTGTTTTATTATATTGCATTATGATCAGTTTCTTTTTTGTTTATTTTATATAAGCATAAACCGTTTGCCTTTTAGAGAATTTCCCCCACATTGGACACTGACATTTTTTTTTTCAAAAGAACATATTTACCCTGGTTCTCCATTTGGCCAGTGTGCCTTCTTTGGTGATATAGAAAGATATCAATGCTCCTTTGAAAGTGTCTGCTGCATATATTGGCGAAAGTGGGGTAAAAACATGCAGTAGAGAAAATGGAAAGAGAACATTTAGGAGGAGAGAAGAATAAAAGGGGGGGGGGGTTATAGAAAGCTAAATTCCTGGGGAAGGAGGGAAGGTAGAAAGTGAACCAACAATCTAGGAAGGAAGGAGATGAGAAGACATGTTGGGAAACGAGCAAGAAAAGACTTGAGGTTAAAGAGCAAGAAAACCTGGCAAGAAGGACGATAACAACTAAAAAAGGACACTCAGATTATGAAAAACATGAGTCTTCGGTCTGATAAAACAAAGATTGAACTGTTTGACCTTAATTCAAAGGGTCATGTGTGAAGAAAACCATCTACCGCTCATCATCTGTATAATACCATCACAACATTATTCAGCTTCATGGACCAAGAGAGTTAACGGAAATCTGAACAGAGAAAAATGCATATATATTTCTAATGAACACCTGGTCCACAACACTTAGAACCTTAGACTAAAGCAAAGATTCACCTTGCAACAGGATAATAACCCTAAGCACATAGCCAAGACATTGCAAGAGTAGCTCAGGAACAACTCTGTAAATGTCTTTGAGTGGCCCAGACAGAGCCTGAACTGGAACTCTATTAAATATCTCTATAGAGACTGGTTTTACATATCAGGACATAATAACCATCTGTTCCTTAGCAGGCCAACAAAGATGAGCAACAACACATGACATATTACACAATGTCATGATTTATTTATCAAAAATAAAGTCAAAATGGAGAAGCCATGTGTGAAAATCTAAGTACACTTTATAATTCAGTAGCTTGTAGAACCACCTTTAGCAGCAAAAACTTGAAGTCATCATTTTCTTTTTAGTCTCTTACATTGTTGTGGTGGAATTTTGGCCTACTCATCTTTACAATGTTGCTTCAGTTCATTGAGTTTTTTATGGTATTTGTTTATGCACAGCTCTCTTAAGGTCCCATCACAGCATTTCAGTTGGGCTGAGGTCTGGAATTTGACAGGGCCATTACAACACATTGATTCTTTTATTTTTTATATATTCTATTGTAGATTTGATGGTGTGCTTGGCATCACTGTACTGTTCCAATTTCAGTCAAGCTTGAGTTGTCAGATAGATGGCCTCACATTTTACTCAATAAAACAGAGGAATCCATGGACGACTCAATGACTGCAAGGTTCACAGGTCCTGTGGCTGAAAATCATCACCCCTCCATCACTATGCTTGACAGTTGATCTGAGGTGTTTCTAGTGACATACTGTGTTTAGTTTTTGCCAAGGTGCAGTGCATTATGGCCAAAAATCTCTACTTTAGTCTCGTCTGTCTAAAGGACATTGTTCCAGAAGTATTGAGGTTTGTTCAGATGCAACTTTACAAACATAAGCTGTGCTGCCATGTTCTCCTTAGAGAGAAGAGGTGTTCTCTTGGCAACCCTTCAAAACAGACCATACTTGTTTAGTCTTTTTCTGATTGCACTGTCACAAACTTTATTAACATTTAACATGCTAACTGAGGTCTATAGAGATGTAACTCTTGGGTGTTTTTTTTTTCCAGTTTCTTTGAACATTGCATGGTCTATCTTGGATAAATTTGCTGGGATGTCCACTCCTGGGAAGATTGGCAACAGTCTTGAATAATCTTGAATAATTGTTCTCACTGTAGAATGATGGATTTTAAATGGTTTGGAAATGGTCTTATTACCCTTCCCAGTTTGATGTGTAGCAACAATTGCTTCTTTAAGATCATTGCTAATGTCTTTCCTCCTTGGCATTTTGTTAACACACACCTGAATGCTCCAGACCAGAAAACTGCTAGAACATCAGCTTTTATAGAGGTGGTCATACTTGCAGAATCAAATTTGACTGGCAGCACCTGTCTGTTACATAGTTTCTTAATTCCAATGGAAGGAGTAAGAGTGTACTTAGTTTTTCACACATGGCTGCTTCATTTTGGCTTTATTTTTGTTAAATGAATCATGGCGTAGTGCAATATGTCATGTGTTGTTGTATTTACCTTATTTAAGACCTGCCGAGGAACACATTATTGTTATGTTCTCATATGTAAAACAATAAAAGTCAAAGAGGGTGCACTTTCTAGACAGATAGATAGATCGATATACCAACATAGTTGTGAAAGGGGGGGTGGGGGGAGTGTGGATGAAAACCCCTTCCACCTGAAGTAAGTGGATAGTCAGGTGGATAGATCCACACTCCCTTCCCCACC